AGCCTATAGAACAACATATGGGAAGATAAGTAACAAAAATAGAGCAATTTGTTTAAAGTTTATTTACAGTTTTTTAAAGCTGGATAAATAAATATTTTTCCTTTTTCATTAATTTATTACTGTTAGTGTTAAGAAGCTTTATTTATATTCACATTTAAGATTCTGGACGGTTTTTGAGCTTCATCAAATAAAATAATCGAAATAAAATTATTTTAAAAGGAAATACTAATTTAAAGAAAATATATTATTAAAAATTTTAGAGCTGCATTATCATAGAATATATTCAAAATACATAAACATTAATATAATAAAATACTCATCCAAGAAAAATGTTTGAATACATGTATTCAAAATTAGAAGAAGGATATTTTAAAAATACAATTTTAATTAAACGAAATTGAATCAAATATCCAACTTAAGCTACAATTAAGTTATGAGAACCGCTGTAATTAAATAACGCTTTGCTAACTCGTATATAACTCAAGATCTCTCCTCTCATACAATATTCAAATTTTGATACCACTTTCTCGACATGTTTGAGTACCCTTTGGATCCTTTGGAATAGTAACAACTGGACCACATATAATTAGAAAAGTTTCACACTCGACGCAGTGCTGTGCCCTGTGCCATGGAGATTGACCCCATAGAATTCGAGAAAAACTTCTGCGTTTCACTTACTCGTTATTGTCTATGGCTCTTGTGAATTTGCTTTGGGTTGGGTGGGTTCTCTTTTGGTTATGGACAACAGTTCGTTGGGTATTAGAGAAGGGAGAGCGGGGGAGAGCAAAAAGAAGATTTGCAAATTGCTGTGGTCAATGACAGTGCAAACTACTTGATTCGACGCGCATTGAATGCACAATGCAAATGTGCATAGAATGGTCTGTTCAAATCCAAAGATTTCAATTAATGTGCCAAAACGTTATTTGGAACTAATCAGTGAAGCGTGAAAAGCAAGTGGTTCAAGGGGAAGAAAAACTTATTGGATAGCATTTGGGTCATAAGTGGAATAAATTTTACATTAAACTGAACTTTATATTCAAAGGGAAAAACCTAAATGCTAAGACTTAAACGGATTTTTCATTAAGTAAATTAAACTTCCGGCTTATACTTAAAGTACATATAGATAAAAAGAATAGGAACTTGTTAAAAATAGGAACCACCAAACATTTATTTTCACTGTTAACTAAGCTAAGCAACTTAATCAAGCTGACAGTTTCACATGTTTTCCGCAACTGGGACGAGTTTTGAATACAAATGGGTTTTTCTTCTAAGTACCACACGTGTGGTAAATGCTCTAAATTATTTTCGCTGGAAATCAAAACGGCTTAAGATACCCTGCATAGAACAATGGTCAGTTTGCATATTGATGAGTTGGGCTGATAGTGTACACGGCACACACATCGCAGGACAAAGGACACGTGCTGCCAACAATAACAACAAGTGTAGCGTGTGTGTGTGCAAATGTGTGTGGGCCATTAGATAAGTGCAACAATAGCAATGCATTTGGACTGGGCGTCGCCAGCTGACTTTGCTTCAAGTGTGTGACTAAGTACAATAACAAAATTGTGAGGCAAGCGAATCGATAGGACCAGCCGCTATGCCGCCCCACGCAGAGCCAAGCACGCTGTCGTAGTCCTTGTTGCTGTTGTTTTTATCGTTGTTGTTGTTGCTGTTACCATTAAAGTGTCGCTGGAGGTGGACGGTGGTGCAATATAAGTTTTGACTGCGCTGCGCTGATGTAATACCGCAAGACAATCTGCCTTTGCACGTCATATAGCCAAACAGCAACAACAACTGAAGATATTAAAAGCCGGTAGAACACAACGCTCTCTCAGTCGCTCTCTTTGCAGCGAGATAGAGAGAGCTCTACACCTTTGGCTTATGCGCATGCGCGCGCGCTTTCTCTCTCGCTCTCGCTCTTCCTCTTTCCAACAGCTGTAACAGGAAGCGTCAGCAAAAAGAAGGCATTGCTAACTTTTCAGTGCTCGTAATTTGATGAATCAGCTGTTCTGCAAAGGGCACCCCACTCAACCCTTACCTGTCCCTTTGCGAGACCGTAACTGGAAAGCCAGGCGACGTTCTTGTGTTTCGTGCTTCTATTCTTGTGCTTGTTTTCGCTGCCTTGTCGCCGGTTGGCTCTGCCCGGCCGGTCCGCTAGCTAACGGTGCCTCGTCGTGGTACACTTCCTTCAGGCCACATAGACTACACCACATGGCTATTGATTTTTTTTTCCGTTTTTTTCCGTCCCGTCTGTCTGTCCCACTGCTGACGCGTCTGGTGTTGAGCGTAATGTACATTAATTTATTCTATGCCAAGCCGAAATTTTTATTATTTTTTTCATTCCATATTTCACGTTTGCATTGCATGTTTGCTTACAGCCAACTCTATTTCACGACACTCCCAAGAATTGCCACTGGGAGCTGGTAAAATTATATATAGTACATAAAAATGGAAATTTGTGTCGCTTTGTGTTCACTCGACTGCAGTTTTGACAGTTAGAAAAAAGTCAAATATATAATGCCATCGCTTTCAAAATCATAAAGTTGTCGGAAATTTCACGGAAATTTAATTTCTAAATAGATATCTTATTAATTTCCTTTCATTGTTAATTTAAATATTTAACTCATTTATATCTCATTATCTGCCTTGGTTTGACAGTAATTCAGAATATTAAAAATGTAGAATATTAGAAATGTAGTGGATAATAATATTTAATATCCTCTAGCAATTTCTTGACCGCAATTTCATTAAATCAAAAATAATCCCATGATATAATCCCTCAGCAGTGCAACACCCTCTCGAGCAGCCATAAATTCAATTCAGTCACCCCCATTTGGTCTGCACCCTTCATCTTCGAGTACACCCTTCATCATCCTTCGTCGCCCCTGTGGGTATGCAATAAAAATCTGTCTCACATAAATCAAGCGACTTGCACAGAAATCCGCAATATAAATAAATAAAAGCAGCCGCTCTATGTAAGTGGGTTAAGAAACTGCAATTTAGAAGCAGCCAAATAGTTATTTCTTAACTTACATTTAGTAGCTGCAACTTAGAGATAGAGAAATGGCTTAAAATACGAAGAATCTTTGACAATTTCTTAGCATTTTATGTAGTTCATTTTAATGAAGAGAATTTTAAGTATAATTACTGACTATTTTACATTCTCAGTTTTAGACCCTGCCCACATAAAATACCTTCGATTTCTTATATATTATAAAATGAAAGCAAAGTAATCTTTATTGTAACTGACCACAGAAATTAATGCACCAGAAATATAGCATACCTAGTCTGAATGGTTGAAACAACTAATTAATGAAAACTAAAAGAACTTTAGAGTTACAATACAATATCGACAATGTTTTCATATGAGCAAGGTTAGTATTATCCATATATATATGTATGTATTTAAGTATATATGTATGTACCTTATCAACCGGCATTGATGGACACGCTCTGCACAGATTCCAGAATGAGCCAATCATAGGGAAATGCTTTTATTGTTGTCGAACCCAATGATCAAAATACAAATTAAATAAACACGCGCGCGTTTACTTGTTTTAATAATTTATATTAATATTTATGTGAATTGTTCGCGTTGTCAACTTTTAGAGGCGCAACAACCGCAACTAACACATACACAGAGTAACACACGCGTAACACTCGCTCGCTCGCTCGCTATCGTTCTCTCTCTCTCACTCTCTCTGTCACACACTCACTCACTCTCTCTCCCTCTCTCTCTCTCTCTCTCTCTCTATCGCTCTTCCTCACTCTCTATACGCACACGCACCTATTAAATGCGTTGCGAAGAAAGTGCGTTTGTGTTTGTCAAGTTTTCGGTTTTATTTGTTGTCTTTCTTTTTTGAGTGTCTTATGGCCCGCAGCTGTGGGAGGGAGAAGAAAACGGGAAAAGTGTAAGCGGAGAGTGCGTTAGAAGAAGTATTGCATACCAGCAGGCGACAGCAAGTGCCGTTATAATGATGATCTCATACACACGCAAACAGTCGCACACAAGCACTCACATTCACGCACACAAACACCATATTTTTATACGCCTAGGCGCTTACACTGAGACACACACTTACAAACGTCACACAATTGAGCCAATTAATGTATAATTTACAAAGTTCGCATGTGTGTATAAGTTGCCTTTCCGGCCAACTCTAGCTATTTGATATTAAATTTTGTATTTCACACACAGAAATAGCTATAAAAACCTCTTCCCCTCCTCAAACCAACAAATCGATATCTATTTTTTGTGACAGCCGTGTGCTATGCAATACTCTTCTTTTGCCGCTTGTTTTACTTTTTTTTTCTCTAAATTATTTGTTTTTGCTGCACTAATTCGCCGTTAGTGGGCAGTGAAGCGCAACATTTGCCGTTTACTTCAGTTGCCACTGCAAAAATTTACTTAACACTGAACACACATTTTTTGCTTTCAATGCAACGTTGCTGTCGCTGCTGCTGCTGCTGCTTCTAGTGGGCCAAATAAAAATTTCTTTGTTTTACCGCTAACGTTTGCAACTCGACGACGTTACGTACACGACTGAGCGAAAAGTGTGCTGCAAATTGCCGTCGGCTGTATACGAATGACAGTAGAAGAACGCCGCCAAGCCACCAAATTGAAGCCAAAGCGTCGGCGTTGGAGTTGACGCAGCGCTTGGAAGTTGTGCAGCAACGCAACCGGGGGCACTGTCTTTTGGGCAGCTGTTGTGTACCGCTCACTGGAAAGCTGCATACTACTATTAAAGTAAACATATGTTACACAGCCAGAGGCGTACCATGCACATTTTGCAAAAACAAATTTACATATTAAGTGACTTTATTTCGTATCCCTTGTTTATGGCAAATTTATTCCTAGTTTATGAAGGCAATAATTGCTACCATAATTCGAACTTTCTTTTTAACTGTCTGGCAACGCCGATCGATTCGCGCTTACGTGCAGCCGAAACAGCTGACCATCATATTGCAGAAATTATCGATACTTAGTTATTACTAATATATCGGTTATTTTTATATCAGCGGCACAACAAACTATGGAGTTGAACTGGGAAGTTGTTTTTTGCGTGGGCATTGCGGTATTAATACATATTCTGATAATAATATTTGTCATGGGCAAGCGGCCAAAGAGCATTGTGGGCCGTCACGTGGTAATCACCGGCGGATCCAAGGGCATCGGCCTCTGCCTGGCCGTCGAGTGTGCTATGAAAGGAGCCAATGTCACAGTCATCGCCCGCGACGAGAAAACGTTGAGTAAGTTGAAAACCAGAAAAACAAGCTGTATAAATTTCCCTGTTTAACGACTCTCTCTTTCTGTCTCTCCTACTGTCTGTCTCCACAGGTGGTGCTGTGGCTTTAATGGAGGTCGTCCGCCAGCGACCGGATCAAAAATTCCAATATCGCAGCTTGGACATTGGCGGCGACTATGATAAAGTGGCCAGCGTACTAAGCGAGTTGGAGGAGAGCACGGGCAACATCTATGCGCTGATCAATTGTGCCGGCATGGCAATATGCGGGGTGTTCGAGGAAGTGGCTGTGGCGGATGTGCATAAACTGATGAACGTGAACTTCTTTGGCAGCTACAATTGCACACGCTATGTGCTGCCCAAAATGAAAAAAGCTGGCGAGGGCATCATTGTGCTAACCTCCTCGCAGGCAGCCATGTTTGGCATCTACGGTTATGGTCCCTATTCCGCCAGCAAATACGCGCTGCGCGCCATGGCGGAAACAATTGCAATGGAGTCACGCGTCCATGGCGTTTCTGTTACGTTAGCTCTGCCCTGCGACACGAATACGCCGGGATTTGAGGAAGAGGAGAAGTCAAAGCCACGCGAAACAAAAATTATTTCCGGTGGAGGCGGACTTCTGGAGCCTGAGGTTATGGCCAAGGCCATACTCAAGGATGCACTAGTAAGATGAGAGTAATACATATCATTTATATGGAATTAACTGTCGGATCTTCCACAGCGAGGCAACTTTATATCCACGGTGGGAGCTGAGAGTTGGCTGATTACAATGCTGGCTGGCGGCTTGTTGCCTTGGGATGGTTTCTTCACGAATCTGCTGCACGCTTTTGTCATTGGACCAGTGCGTCTTTTCGGCTATGGCCTGCACAAGTACTTCAACAGCATTATTCGCAAATGCGCCAGAGAGGACGCTGCTAAGAAAACAGATGTGAAGGAAGCGGATAATGCGAAAGGCGAAACTCATTGAAAACCTGAGGAAGAACCTATTGACTAGCTGTGTCTTATATTCCATGCTAAGCAGTACAAATTCAAATGCCTTCTATCCTTAACATATAATTCCCAAAGCCTAAAACCAAATTCATATTGTTTGTATTCCATTTCCATTTTACTGTTATTTTATATAACTTAACGTATTTGTGTTGGTTTCTTAAGAATAAACAAACCAACTACTTGGTTTGATTTCTATTTTCATTTTACGAAATATACATACTATATTATCAACATACTTTTTGTATTGCTAACCATATTAGAAATTAGGCTAATTTGACATGAAAACGCGGGAGCCTTACGATAAGATAAGAAATATATATATGTAAGTAGGTAACTTGCTTTAGCATTCGAATGTGCTGCTTTCACAGTGACCGAAAACCTTCAAATTGTGTGTATACATATAAAAAGGCGTCAAAAATGTTTAATTACCATTTCTTATATAAATCAGGTGAAAAATATTTATAGCTTATCACTTTTTTAAAAAGACGCGCCTTTATTTTCTCCAAATGCGTTTACTTCGAGCAATTTTTCGTATTTTGAGCACTTTTTCAACCGATAGGCTTCACAATTTCGATCAATTTGACTATCGTCTTACTGTCATCACTAAAAATAAGAGTTCTGGCGATGTAAGGAGGTGTTTCATATTGATTAGTGCAAAGACGTGTGAATTTAATTATAGAAAACAATAATTAATATGTATATTTTAAGCATATATCTTAACTTATGTGGTAACAAGTGCGTGCACTTGAAATTTTTGTAGTTATATTGCAAAACACGCAACCAAATTTTGCTATCGTCAGCGCTCAGCGCTCGCTCAGTGCTAGTGATGCCACAAGTGGTGTGAAAAAGTTAGAACTGTTTAAAGAGCTAAATACTTGAATATATTAATTATAAAATATAAATCAATATATATTCAATACAAAATATAATATATATGTTCATATTACCAATATAACACAATGGGTTTATTAACGCTAAAATGTTGCCACGCAAACAGCCATGTTCAGCTAAATAATAGCCAACAACGCAGCACAGTTAATGCCGTTGTTTGTGCGGAATAATTTAGACAAGTTGGAAAATAGATATATAGATATATATAACTATTTAAACTTGCTAATAGAGATGTAAATGAAAATCAATACCAACAAGTGGAAATATATACAAATAAATTAAAATAATTTCGAAGCATTGTTTATGTTGTTAGTGCTGCAATTAATACCCATTTAAAAAATTGTATAAATAAACGATTGGTATGAGTGGACAAAGTGTGATCGTGACTATGAAATACCCTGTATTATAGTCCACTGAATTAATTTGTCACTTATTCAAAGTAATATATAAAGTGAATAATTGATTGGTGCTTCATATCTATGCTACATATTATTACGGTTACAGGGTATTAACGACTACTCAACACAATGAAACGGTCAATTGATTGTCGGTCGTTCGTTTGGTGGTCGGTCAGCTGCTCACTTGCCTTTCATTTATTATCGTTCTCCCTGTCACTTTTGCAAAAACAAATATACGTACGTAATACGACTAATTGTCCGACTGCGTGTATGCGTACTGTAATTCGATATAAATATACAATTAATTAAAACTAAGGCAAAATGCTTCAAGATGTCGTTGTTGTTGTTGTTTACTTGGCGACATCGCTTATCACTTTACTACGTTTTACACTTTACGTGTGTCGTAACGTCATCAACAACAACAACAACAGCAACTGCGTCCACAGCTGCAGCGGTCATTTATGTGTCCCACGTAACAAACGTGCTTACGTAGTTACAGTCACTCTTACCGTTAAACATTTTTAATTGCGTTCTTGACTATAAATTAATTATATATTATGCAAATATGTGCACGCATACTTATTTTTATTATCATTTCAAAAACAAATATTTATGCATTTGTGTCTGAAAGCAGAGATAAAGCGAGGGCGAATGACTGTAGCAAGCAAAATGATTTATCCTAAACAGATGTAAAGAACCCACAGTAAAGTACACTATAGAAAACAACGTTCTTTGAGATATCGTATCGCAATGGGGTTCTTTTTGTAATAACAAATACAAGTGATAAAAAATACAACTCAGAACTTAAAACTCTTAATGGAAAAATATAAATAACTAAAACGAATCAATTTGCAATGGAATGAAAGTAATAATAATATAATTTTTGTTTGCATATTTGAAGAAATAATATAATATATAATAAGATA